TACTTAGGCTAAATTTATTTTATCCCGATTGTCATACGCATTATTAGTCGTTGTCACCTAGGAAACCACATAAACTAGGCATGCTGGCTTTATTGTCATCTTGTTATTAGGTCAGAGATTTTATTTAATTTCTTGTCGGCCGTACTCTAGACCTCTTGAAAGTCTTCTGGAGTCAGAATACTGGCCAGATCTTGCCGGGACTTTTATTTAATATCTATAAAATCAAATAATTTATTTCCTTAGATAGCATAAGTCTATCTTAACTTATGAAAGGAGGCTTGGTGAAGAATCTTATTAATGTTATCTGAATAATAGTGTTTCTTAAGGTCATAGAATCCAGGAGTGATACCATAACGTTTGCAAAAGTTTAAAAAGGTCAGCTTGCATGAATGTCTTCTTTGTCTGTCTCTATTCAGCTCTTTGTCTTAGATATGAAGACCAAGATATTGCGGCCTTTACTTTGGTCGCAGTGTCCTTTCGATATTTAGAAGTGGAACACCCTCGTTTTCGCGACTTCGACATGTTGTTACGGGGCTTTGTTTAACCCACATTGTCCGAAGTCTTCTGTCATAGTAGTTACCACAATACCCAGCGTTGGACAGTGGGCGTGGTAACCTTAATAGGCATCTTCCAGCCAAGTCCCTCTGACAACCCGATTAAGTTGCGAAAGCGACATCAGATCACTTCTATACAAATATTTCAATTATTTTTCACATCTATTGTTTGGTTATCAGCTATAAGACTCGAATTTTCCTGTCACCAGGACTATTTTCAAATTGCGTTTCTAGATAAAAGGAAAATTCATCGTTAGTCGAAGAGCATTCCTGACTAAGTACTGATGATGGCTACTATCCTTCCTACCTACCTAAGAGACTAGTTTGAAAAATTCGGAACGAATTGAAATTTTCCACAAGCAAATAGGGTCAATTTAATATTGTGATAATTATAAATTTTTAAAAAAATATACTTAACCTAGGTCGAACCAAAACCTTTTGAGACAAACGCTTTCTATAATGGAACGTTAGTGAATATATTTTAAGAATGTGTTGTCAGGACAATTGTTTGTAATTTTTAACCCTCTCTTTCTACTTGTCTACACTCAATGATCAAGTCAGTAAATGGTAAAGCTGGTCGAATTATAAGGAATCGCCAATCGACTATACTTAAATAATAAGCTAAATAAGCTTTAAATTTACACCAATTTTATTTCTCGTGTCCTTCCTTTTGTGCATTGAACAAAATAACATCAATTTTAGTGGTGTAGAATAAATTCTTTAGCCCAATCTATTTGGACGCATTGCAAACTCTTATCAGCCGAAATGTCCCTTGACATTCATCCTTCCTCCTGTTTCTTTTGATTTTCATAAAACTAACTCCACTAAAAATACAAATTTACTTACACCATCAACCCAAAATATCCCAATATATGAATATTTGTTTTTGCAGAAAAAAGTAATTTCGGGTCAACCTCGGAAAATCCTTTAGTTTAGTTAAATACATTAGCCTGGACAGCGATTAATTTAATAAAAAATTTAAATCATAGACAAGGCAGGCTCGTGTGGGATTGCCTCCCTGCATAATGTTGGCATGGATATTTAATGAGCCTAAAACAGACGGAACGGAAAACCTCTAATTATAAAATAGATATAATAGTGACATTTATATAGGGACTGCACATGATTCGGTGTAATGTTACTTGAACGAAAAATTCGCTATTATTTGAGATGTGTGAAGCCGACATCATTTGGCCTGAACTACAGTCTCAACACCGGTGGGAATCGAACTGAAACACCTTAAGATATAGGCTGCAAGTCTTCTGGGCCACCAATTCACCTAAGAAGCATATTTTTAGAGTAAAGCAGACGTCTATAGATAAGCAGCTGCATGCATAACGAGGGTCGAGGCTCCAGTTAACTGTCTCAAACCGAGACTATCCTCTTTTCATGTTTCATACACGGGGCACGATCACATTTTTTAATTGCCCACTAATTTGGAGTCACTAAGTTACGTTTCCTCCCAAACGACTATGCAAGCCTGAATATAAAAGTGAGTTGCAATCTACGAAATTTATACAAGCACTATGTTTCTGCTGGTTTTTATATTTGTTTTAATCTAAGAAGATAATTCATTAAACACCAATCTGCGTGAAGCTGTTGAGATTTAAGTAGTACAAAGAATAAACATTGATTGGTAGACATCATCAAAAGTAAAAAGTGATTCGAATTTTTATTTCGACCGGTTTTTGATTTGTATTAGTTTAAAAATATTATAATTGAACCCTTGGGCTGAGATTTGCAAAGCATAATACTATAATACGTGATGGTGAAATCTTCTCAGCCCAAATTTGAATCTTATCATCGCGTGTATGCATCTCCTGGATACCCATTATACGCTTTCATTCGTTTTATCAATTGTAGCACACTAATCATTCGGCAGATCTAGCTGATAGTGATTGGACCCAGAGACAACTCGACAATTTACGTATACCTCTTGAGATCAAACATGGCACTTCATCTCCACTCCATGTGCGAAGGTTTCACCAGCTCTACACTAAT